CCTTGCTGAAGATCAGATCACATTTCATGACCAATTAATGCAAAAAAACAGGAAATTGCAAACAGTGCTATTACTTTTTCTTGTAAATAGAAAGCAGGTTGTAAATAAAAAAGTGGGGGGGGGATTTAAAGAAAAAATAGAGAGGTGAGGGTGGTGGTGGTGGTGATGTTAACGGATGTGTTTAAATCCCCAGAGCATGCTTGTTTGTCATTGTGGGTGTACTGCTAACTTAACAGGGCATCCCCCCAATGCATCAGCTGGGAGGATACCACTAGCTGATGAGCCATTACTGATAAGCTGGTAGAGATGCTCCGAAGTGGTGATATGGCATTCACTCTGCACACAGCAGGAAGATAAGGGGGCAGAGGAGGAATTAATGTGTCAATCAGAGCCAGTGCGCTGCCCTGGTAGATGAGTACACTGGAGCCATAAAAGAGATCATAGACAGGATCTGGTAATGGTCCTCGGAGACTCCCCCGGAGAAAGATACACTTTCTGCTGAGTGACTGCTCGGCAAATAGGGCCAAATAGAATTAGCTGACCTGGGTTTCCTCCGCTGTGGCTATGGTGGTGCAGTGGTGGCGGTGGTAATACGCCTGACATGAGGCCACTGTGTTAAGGGCTGCAGAGAATACAAGTGGCTCATGCTAACATTTTACCCACAGACGGACAGCGACTATATCATTTGCACAGGAGAAAGAATACAGAGAAAATTGGAGGAGCCAGCGAGGATGGCAAAGTGGGGCCTAATGGAGATAGAATGACACTTCAGTAGAGTGCATGAACAAACTGAGAAGGGGTAAATCCCACTCTATTTCTTTCTCTGCCTCTTCAATGAAAGAAAATGACTGTCTTGACTTGGAGTATCTCAGATATGTCAGAGGTTGACAGGACTGGCTGGTTGAGAGATGGAGCAGGGATGAGTTGAAAGAGATATTCAACAATTCTAGTAGTTACAAAGGTACTTTGAATGTGAAAATTAATGTGACAAATCTAAAGCTTAACAACAAAAAAAAAACAAAATGAAAAAACAAAGATATGTTGAGACACTTCTCACAAACCATTAAACTGACCCTAATGACATGTGTCTTAAATAACACATCTCATTCACAATTCTATCTATTATTAATATATTCATTTCAGCACATATTTTGCGAAGCACTGGGGTCTATGCATACATTTGAATCAACAAATACTTTCAAGATATTTCGACCAACACTGAAGAATAAATGACATTCCCAGTTCCACAGCATGGCCTCAAACAGACAGTACACATAGCTGTGTATTACCCAACATATAGTTATTTTCTTAATAAGGATCTAATTTAGCATGGCTAACATTAAAGATAAACAAAACGTCATTCTCCATGAGGCATCCTTACTTTGGTGAGATTTAATCTGGGGTAAGACATAACCGAGGCAATTCGATGTCAAGACTGTTATTGTTATTTTTATTAACTTTGAATATTTCTCTCTGTCTTGGATAGCAGATGACAGGCCTCCCACAAAGAAACACCAGTGACGGCAACACAATACCCATATTCTAATTGCTTGCTTCATCAAGGCCAGGCCAGTCTACATAAGGATCCCCCTTGACAGCAGCCTCACGGTGAACTGGAGGTGACCTTGCTATCCCAGAACAATTCAAGTCTGACACGTTCTGGAAACACATCACCGCATGCCATCTCAAGCATTGCTTTCATACAAGTGATCTTCACACGGTGCAGCAATTGAAACTGATTTTGCTGTAGCAGAAACTTGTCAGTTTTATTCAAATGCAGTGTAACTGACTGCACCCCGGTGGCGCACCTGGAACCAATATTCTAATTAAGTTAATCTGTAAAATCCTGACAATGTGGGTGTTCAGGTGGCTGGTAATCTGATGTGAAAGAAGTCTTTGTTTTCATTGGAAAGCTACGGAAAGAGCTGGCACCTGTTTCAGCAAAACGCTGCAGAAAATTATCACTGTCGAGTTATCCTGAGTGCAGGCAATTACAAATGACAGTGTTTGTCTTTCTCCTCATGGAGCCCAATTTTTACACCATCATTTTTTTTCTGCCTGTGGTGACGGCCTGTCAGAATATTTTCCCCAGTGTTCTTCTTTCCTCAGCAATTTGATATAGAAGATTCACAACTCTCATCACCTTGATTATGATAATATGTGTTTCTGAGGAAATGAAAAGGTCAGAGCTGCTCTAGCCTTTATCCAGATGTTCTTTTCTCCTTGCACTCCTGCCAAATACATTTTCAAAGATTCCACAACAGTGAAAATTGTTTTGGAATTACATGGTCACGTTGGCTGCAAATGAAAGCTTTTCTTTGTTCAATATCTCTGGTCCTGGGAATGGAACACTATGATCATTAGAGCAATGGAAAATATTAATACCTGCCTTGGGGCTCTGTTATTACAGTACTTATATAATGAGCTAGCAAACATTACAGCATGTACCTGTCACTTTGTTGATGGGTTGCTTTGTTGGGCATGGCACATATCCATTTTGCTCTGTGTAATGTTTTGAAAGGGTCATCATGCAGATCTGCTGCCTTTCATAATACTTCATCATGCAATTTTAAAGGGGTTAGATGATAGTTTGAATTCTGCTCTGTTTTACAGCTCTTGCCCATGTATGTGTGAGAGCTTCCTGTGTTCCAGCATCACTGTTTCATCATATGCTGCTTGCTATTGCAAAGATAGCAGCAATTTTCAAGAAATATTTGTGGATAAACTGCTTTCCTGTTAGCGGTATTACACATATGATGAAAACAAGTCTTTGACAGCTTGTATGAGACCTGCTACAGACCCATACTTCTTCTAAAAGAGCAAGAGTTAGAACTCAGAACTGAGACCAAAGCTTGAACACACGTGAAAAATCAAATAAAGGATGAAAACCTATGATTTTAAACATTAAAGCCAAGAAAAGGGATTATATGTCTTGATTACAACCTATGTTTTTCATTTGCAGCATAACTTTTCTGCCTGTGGTTTGGCATTCACATTAATGAGTAATAATAATAAGAATAATAAATTAAATATTAAAAACATAATATTTATTTTTACTTTGTTTCATTTATAATGCATTGAATATGATTCTCACAGTGCAATAAAAGTGACATAATAATATCACATTAGTATTTTTCATAAATTGCATTCCATATGAATTTGTATAAAGCAGTATAATACATTTACTGTGCAAGTTGTGTTTTATAAGCTAGAGGACCACTTCAGGACATATTGCTGACAAGTTTATGAGAACAGAAAGATGTACACCGGCGAAGCTGCAGTTTGGCTCTTGACAGTGGACTGTGTAATAATTGGTGCAAAATTCAACAAACAGCTGAAAACTTGGCAGCTATGTCTAATAGTCCACCATGTTTTGAACTGTATCCCAGTCCACCTTTACTGGCTGATATAACTGGTGCCAAACACCAAATATGGAGCTGCTTTACTGAGCAGACAGAGGCTGACACTTCACCAACAACACAGCAACACTGCTGAGTTTCTACAGAAGTGTCAAAGCACCTTGTTTTTTTGTTTTTTTTGGTCTTGTTTCTTTTCGTAGTGTTGTTTAGTATCATAGTATCAAAGTTTTACATTTTAAATGTCAAAAACTTGTGACATTATATAGAACTGTTACAAGTCTCAAGTAACTGGTAGAGCAGGAAGGAAAACAAACCCTGAAAAGAGAACACTCTGAGAGCTTCTCTCCTATGTTCCTTCCCTCTCCACCCCCCCACAGTGATGCCAAGCAGCCGTATGGAGACTGACAGGGTTGCTACGTCTCTCTGTCGTGTCAACTAGCTAGCGCCCTTGGTTTCTTCTCGCTTCAGTGAAGAGATAAAAGCCTATTGACTTGCCAGGCTACAGTTAATGCAAATTGGGCTTGCTATCAATGTATTATTTATAGGGAGAGCTGCAGACATTTCCACAGAACTGGGAGCTAAGCTTACAGGAGATTAGGCATGCTATCTCATTCATTTACCAGGGAGTAATTGCTAAACTGTGGAGGAATTAGGATGTGTGAGGTTCCCCAAAGGCGGTTCATCTTGTAACCAGGTGGCTGCCATCAGCCAGCTATCTCCCTGTCTGTTATAAACAAATACACAGAAGTGAAACTGATAGACTACATCTGTCAAATTGTCAAATGGTTAATTCTTGATGATGTCACCCCTAAAATGTTATGCATTTTTAAAAAAACACAAGAAGATGCTGATGGTGCGAGCTCCAATTTTTCATGCTTTTATATTTTGAACAAAAATGAAGATTACATTCAGGTCGCATCTCACCACTGTTAGAAAATGCTTATAAAGAAATGCTCATAAACCTCAAAGACGGCCTCATAAGGTGATTCTCCATTATCTCACCTATGCAGAAATGGAAACTGCACAAGTGAGCCACTATCATTTCTGGTTGCCACTTCTGATTTGGTTAGAAAATAGAGACACCCTATGATACATATTCTACTTCACTTTCCTAAACAACCCCTTCTGTTTTCAAACTTTCACTTTCCTTAAAAAAAAAAAAAAAGACAGGAATGTATTTTTGTGACTGAAACCAACTTTTCACCATATCACAAGAGGCAAAGCTGGAGCTATGATATCCCTACTTTACATATTGGAGAAACAAGCAGATACAGGTGATACTGTATCTGTCATGCAATAAGATTAAATGCTAAAGTTAACCGTAAGTCGCATTCACTATGATCAAGGCTAGAAGGCATATTTAAGACATATTCTGGCATAAAGTACTCCAAAAATAATAGATACCTTATCACTAAAAAACAGCTTCTACCTGTACCACATCTTCCTTGTCACTTTCTTGCTCCGTAAGATGCAAATGATCAACAGTGGTGGGACCGGCAGAGCGTCTTTTCCCCCTCGTCTTCTTTTGCTAACAACACACTATGACTGTCTCCCTCCTTTAGTTGAGAGCTCAAATTTGTTATTCACAGCTCTCAGCCACTCCATGTGGTGGGTGAATAAACACAGGAAAAGCAGTCTTACCTTGTCGTCAATGTCACTTTCGCTGTCACACTGTAACAGAAAAGAGACAGACACAGGAAACATAAGGAATTATTCATTTGGCTCCCCCTAGTAGCTGATAATCAGTGCAGATGTTATTTTTGAACCTCTCGTTCACTGACAGCTTTCAGTGCAAACGGCAGAGGATGAAGAGGGAAAGGAGAGTGTGGTAGAGACTTTTTCAAGTTTCAAAAGCAGCACAGCCAGACAGAACCCATTCCTGGTGTTTCTGTTGCAAATTCAATGCTGTAAATTTGCAAAAGATGAAAAATGAATAATACTATGCACTGGCTGCTATTATAAAGAGCCTGTTCAATGGCATTGCATTCAGCTGCAGCTTGTCATTTAGCCTTTTAAGTGCGCTTTAAAATTGGACGATAGCATCTGAAGGACACAGAGACCTCTGGCTCTCTTAATACTCAGTGCACAGTGCCTATTAAGTGTGGTATTTCAAATCTGCCTCGCTGTCTTTAATTTGTGTGTCAGACTTCTAAAGGAACTAAATAACAAGAGGAGTTGTATTCTGAAATATGACTTGTCGAGCGGGGCCAAAGGTCAGATCCTCTCCTATTCAATCAAGAAGTGAAACGGTTTTTCTTCAGAACATCATACTTCCAAGTAGTTTTACCATTAAATAATCCACAATGATCAGGCTCAAATATCTTAAGGAAAAAAAGAAAAAAAAACAAGAAAAACTGAAAAAGTCAGACCTTGTAACTGACAAACAGAAGATGAGATACTGCAGATACTTAGGGCCACAGCCTTTCATTCCTGACATGTTCCTAGCCAGAAAACTCTTTTTAGCAAATAAGAAAAAATGAATAGACACAGACAGAATCTGAAAATTGTATTCACCTTTAGTCTAAAAGAATGAGTTAACTTAAAGTCAGTAACCATGGCTTGCAGTCCTTGTTTGATTATTTTTATTTTTAATTTGACACAGCTCATCCTGTTGCCATCAAATATAGCAGCTTTAATATTTATAGAAAACATATATCGCATGTATTTTGTGCTAAATGCTCTGGGCTGGTAACGCTCTCCCTGGAGCTAGCAGATAGTGAAGTTGTGGAAACAGGAGTGGTCAGTCCCACTGGACATCACAGCAGGATGCATGAGGAGCAAAGCAATTCAAGCACAGAGCCTCATAGAAAGGGAAGAGGGCCCCCAGTGAAAAACTGCTTTCAATCTGTCAATTAAGTCCCTGTGGCAACATATTGAAGTGGACCCTCTTTATTTTGTTTGACTCTCTTTCAGAGCCAGGCACAATGAGGAGGGAGCTAGGTCAATGGAGGCACAGCGGCCCTTTGTTGTGAGTGCGGTGGGTCCAAATGTATAATTAAGTAACGAGAGTAATCAGTGCAAAGGCTCAGTGGCCAAGATCTCTCAGCAAAGGAGAGCAGAGGGGGGCTTCCCTGCCCCATGATTCATCACACTCTGCAAAGACAAGGGATACAGCAGGAGTTCTTGCCGGCAAAAGCTTTAAGTGAATAACACTGCGACTGAACCCCCTAGGAGGCTTATTGTTGTGTTTGTGTCTCCATCTGCAGAATAACTCCAACTCCATGTCTGAGCTGCTGTTGTTCCTAAAGATGCATTCTTACCAAAGACACAGAACACGAGCATACATCTGTTGGAGGATAAATACAGTAACATGTGTTATACTGTATGTTACATAATATGTTCAATATAAAGCTGTCTACCTACAGAAGAGACTGCTGTTGCAAAAATGACCTGACAATTGTACTGCACTTATATGAAATGTGTGGTTATATAAGAATATATTAGAAGAGTGCCAGAGAAAATGTTGGTGTGCTCTTTGGTTTGCATTCAGAGGACAATTTTAAGTAAAGAAAAACGACTCATAATGGGTAATGTCCAATCATAATAAAATGACAAAATAAAACTCATTAGTGTTATCCATAAGTACATGCCCACATGCACCTGGAATGGAAAATTTGAAATACTGGCCATATTTTCTATGCTGTGTGCTCTTGTCTCTAGGAGAATGTTTGCAAACCCTAGTGCCTAGATTTTGCTTGTCAGAAGACCTTCATCACAGAATGCAGGGCATTAAGAAGAAGAGAAAGTAGCTTAGTCTTCTTGTCAATCAATTTCCCATTCAGACCACGTATTCCAGCCAAATTAATTGTCAGCCATTTCTCTATTGCTTGTTAAAGACACATCCCAACCTGTAATCACTGCCCATTTGTTCCCTTGCCACTCTTTTCGAATCAATGTTTTCTTCCATTTAAATCCACCTACAAAGTAAAAAAAACAAAAACAAAAACGAGCCAATCCCCAACCCCACCTTAACCCAAGGAAACCAGTGTTAATGTATTCTGAGCATGCTTCTGAACAGAAGCCTTCCATCTCACAGGGGTTGTGTGTTACTCTCTTATTACTGGGCCCAGTTTAAACCCTATGTGATGGAGACGAACAACTGGCTGCGTCTATTCCCTGGGTGTATGATTGGCCTTGTTGTTGAAGCAGCAGTCATGACACAAGAGATGAGGCCTCACAACGCTGGAGCTAGTGGGGAAGAAAAATAATATCAAAAGAGCACAGCATGATGCTTATCCTTTCACAAGAAGCCTGCACTACAACGCAGCGTCAAGAGGAATACTAGCTATGGTTCACACAGACAGAGACGCAACACAGCAGGGGAGAGAGAAAAGTGGAAAGGGGGGAACAAAACAACAGTAAGAACAGACAGGGGCATATAGAGATGAGGGGATAGAAGGGGGAAGTATTGTTAGAGCAGTTTTTATCAGGAGTATATTTAATTGCCCTGTTAGGCTAATACACTTGGTTGAGTCACAAAAAGGTTGGCTCATGTTTGTGAGTGTGTGGGTGTGAGGTGAGGACATCGTTTAGCACCCTATGTGTTTTAGAATATCTACACTGAGAAAATGATTTGCAGCAAAGACTATATAAGAAAACCGGATGGTGAAAATACAAAACCACAACCCCACAGGGAACCCTTCCTAAACAGCATGTCTGGTGGTCAGATGGAACATTGTTAAAATCGGAGAGATATGCTGCTCACTAAGCTGCCTGACAGGAGCCAAGTCCCTTGTGGTTTATGTTTCTCATAGATGTTCACAAGCCCACCCCCACCCCCCAAAAACAAAACAAAAACTGGCTGGCTCTTCAGAGGCAGGGAGCAAGCAGCAACATCTGCACCTGGCAACCGCCAGCTACGAAGGGTAACAGGGGACCAGCTTCAGCGGATGGCTCATCCACAACCCTCCCTCCCAGCTTCCCATCTCCTCTCCAACCCCTCCTCCCCTCAGCTGGCACATCAGACGGATGCATTTGACATTTACACAGCTTTCAACACTTCAGAGACAGGAGATTTATTCCGCCAGCGGCCCTGGCTGAAGCCAGGCCTCGACCTGGGCTGGCCCCCTTGACGACCCTGTAGCTCAGCCCTGAAATGAGGCAGGGCTGAGGAGAAAGAAGCAAATAAAAAAAACAGTGATAGGGAGGGAGGGTGGATGGATGGATGTCTCGATTCTCCTGGCCATTCTCCTGGCAGATTCTGATAGACGTGCATGGGGAAGACAATAAGCATTGTGCATCCCGGAGCACATTAAAATGACTGGCCAAATTAATCACACAGTTCCACTTGTCACACTCAGAGGACAGTCTGCCATGAATTCTGCCTCAGAGATAAAGAGAGGAACAGAAAAGGAACTTGCCTGGCTACGCAAATGCTGGCACGGCATCAACGACTGTCTGCCTGAATACTGATCGCACCCCTGTGCTTGCTGCAAGAAATCTAGAAAAAAAAAATAGGCAAAAACAAGAGCTGCCAGAGCTGCTGGCATGCAAATGTCACTGTCACTTCCTTCTCAAAATAAATAAAGCAACAAATAAAACAAATAAAAGGGCAAAAAGAGAATGCACGTAAAAGTATTTGTGTTTTGACAATACAAGTTGTGACAAAACCTTGACTGACAGTAATCAGTGTAAAGTGTGTTTCCACCACAGCTCTTTCTAAAGTACCTAAGGATTTTAGATGCAAGAGCTTTTTCCAAGTGTCATTCATTCATGAAACTCCAAAATAATGTTGTACCAAATTTAATAGTGCATTGATCAGTTTGAGATATGGCCACTACATCTAACTAACCATCCATAATCTATACTGTTTACCCTGGAGTCAATCTCAGCCAACACCGCGTGAGAACCAGGGTACACCCTGGGCAGTTCACTAGTCTACCTCAGGGCTGACACATAGAGACAGACACACAGACCATTTCAAGTCATCAACCTAGCTTGCATGCCTTCGGACTGTGGGAGGAAACTGGAACCTGGAGAAAACCCACAGACACAGGGAGAACAAGCAAATTCCACACAGAAAGGCCGTAGTCGACAGCATGGTTCAAACCTGGAACCTTCTTGCTGTGAGGTGACAGTGCTAACCACTGTACCATTGTCTCTCCTGCTACTATATCTTGACTCCGAAAAATATTTACCTTGCTTTGTACCAGTGACTGAATGTCTTACAGTGAGACAGAAGCTGCTTCACGTGATCCTTTCTCCAAATGAACAAGGTGGCAAGACAAGACAATGCAAAAACTGTAGACATCTTCAGGGAACAAATGGCTTCAAATTAGAAGACATCTCTCTGGGGGCATATACTGAGATACCCCTGATTGTAAGGGAGAAAGTACTGACAAACCCAGATCTCCTAGAGTGAGAGCACACAGAGTGGGTAATGGCCCATTTAGATAGTCGAGGACCAAAGCAGTGACAGATACCAGTGGAACAACACCATTTTCCTCCTGCAATTTCCCTCCTGCCAAGACTGGGATGAGGTGTGGGGATGTAGACGTAGTGGTCACTCTGATGGGGCGTAGAAGCAGAGCCTCGGGTTGTCTGGGGGCCCTCCTGATGGGCATGAAACACCAGCGGGATATCTGAAGGTCTCTTTGGCTTTGTGGCGAAAGGTAACGCCTTGCTTCATCTCAGCATTCATAATTTATCAATGGGATGTTTTCTTGCATGCT